AACACCTGACTTTTTTGACCTGTTTTTGAGATTGAATGCAGCCAGCTTAAAGTAAACAACTTATTTCATGCTTGTTTGTTTTATAGATCATCTTTGTTTTATCATCTGCTCGCTTTCTTTCTCCACAGGCAAACTTCAGCTACTACCCATGTTGTTCTTGGCCAGTTCAAAACTTGTGTCATTCTTCTTGGAGGTTTTCTTCTCTTTGGTTCCAATCCCGGACCAACTAGCATATTTGGAGCAATCACTGCTCTTGTTGGTATGTCTTTCTACACTTATCTTAACTTGCTTTCACAACAGCAATCAGTTAAAACATCGTCAAGACAAGCTTCGTTCTCTTTACCAAAATCAAAGCTCGGCAAAGACAATGGGGGCAGCGACGAGATAAATGGGGATGAATCTGTTTAATTCTACAATTGACTGAGAGATGACAAACTGGTATACTTGAGCAGAGATTTCCTACTAACCTTGATTTTTTTTTATTTTTTGTATTTATATTTTTTTTTCTACAATTGAGTTCTTTTGATTCCGGAACAGAGATCTGTTGATGTCATTGAATCTGATAACTAGACTGGAAATGCTTTGATGACCATTTCAGACAATTGTAAGGATCGCTATGGTCCTGTTCCAAAAGGCTTGCCCATACATTTTGGCAAATTTTTTGTTACTTGATTTACTACACGGTGTACATCCCTTATTTCTGTTAAGTTCTGAAAATTAATACAATATTAGAAAGAAACAAAGAGTGGTCAAAATTTAACCTATCTCTCATAAATCACTTGTATTTATAGTTAACTTGTAATAATATAAAAGACGTATATATCCCTTAATATTTACACATAATACCCTAATATTCTTAACATTCCTCCTCAAGTTGGATTGTATATATCATATAATTCAAGTTTGGAACAAATTATTGTAAGACGTGTACGACTTGGTGTTTTGGTAAAAATATCTGTAAGCTGATCTTCAAATTTCATAAATAGAGTCGTAATCTCTCTGGTTATTATCTTGTCTCGAATAAAATGATAATTAACTTCAATATGTTTTGTTTTCTCGTGAAACACTAGATTGATATCGATATAGATAGTTATCTGATTGTCACGGAACAATTATAAAGGAGGTTGAACGAAAAATTCAATTTCTTGGAGAAAATTTAGTAGTCACGTCACGTCAACTCATTCGTCGTATGCATCATTGTTCTATACTCAGCGTCAGTATTGGATCTCGTTATCACAGGTTGTTTATTACTTTTACATGAGACAATATTACCTCATAAGAAAGTACAACAATCAGTGGCTGATCTTCAATTAGAAGGAAAGTCAGCTCAATCAACATCCGAGAAATCTTTCACTCTAAGATGTCATTTAGTTCGATCTAATAGCCCAATACTAAGAGCACATTTGAGATGTCGTAGAATATGAGTAATTGTCTCCCAATGTGGTACTTTAGGACATCTCATAAATTGACTTATTATACTAACTGCATAGAAAATATCCGGTCGAGTAATAATGATATAATTGAGCTTCCCAACCAACCTACGATACCGAGCCGAGTTCTCAAACAGTGCACCATCATTTATCAACAGTTTCTGATTCAGATCCATTGGAACATCAATTGATCTGCAAACCAACAAACTTGTTTCCTCTAGCATGTCAAGTATATGTTTCCTCTAGGATAAATCAATGCCCTGTTTAGATCGAGTCACCTCAATACCCAAGAAATATCTGAGTTTTTCCAAATCTTTAGTATAAAATCAGTCTTGTAGGAAGGTTTTTAACTTGACAATTCCTTCAAAATCATTTCTAGTAATCATAATATCATCTACATAAACCACCAATAAAACATATCCGGCATCTAGCTGTCCATGAAACACAGAATGGTTTGTCTGACATCGAAGAAGATCAAACTCAAACTGTATCTAAAAACTTACCGAACCATGTCCTTGGTGACTGTTTCAGTGTGTTTTTTGCAAGAAACAAAGTGCGATCTTTTGGTGGAAAATTTGGTAATTCCGATTTTTCAGCAAAACTCTCTCACTTGATGACCAAACTCCCAAAAACATTGGACCTTTTTATATTTATTGTACTTTGCATGACTTTTCATTTAACCAGACAGAGCCTACAATGGTGAAGTTCTAGTCGGTCAAACATGGAGAAAAAAAACCTCGATTTTATACGCTTATGTGCACAAGTTAATATCCACTGTAACGTAATATAATGTTAATATTGATAATGAGCGGTTTAAGCCGGATTGCTTTAGAGTCCAAGACCCTCTAGGCTTGTAAAAAACGGTCTAAGCAGCTCATTCAGATAATATTCCTCAGGCTTCAACTGGATTACAACCCGGTTCGAGGGAAGCTCGACATTAACAAACCCGGTATAGCTACCAGTTTGGGAGATGGGAGCACAGCACAGGGGCAGTCTGCAAGAACTGCAGTATGACACGTGGACATGAGATAAGGAAATATTACCTAACGGATCTGATGAACAAAAACCCGCAAGTAATAGAGATGGTTCAATTACTCCGNTCTTGTTGGTATGTCTTTCTACACTTATCTTAACTTGCTTTCACAACAGCAATCAGTTAAAACATCGTCAAGACAAGCTTCGTTCTCTTTACCAAAATCAAAGCTCGGCAAAGACAATGGGGGCAGCGACGAGATAAATGGGGATGAATCTGTTTAATTCTACAATTGACTGAGAGATGACAAACTGGTATACTTGAGCAGAGATTTCCTACTAACCTTGATTTTTTTTTATTTTTTGTATTTATATTTTTTTTTCTACAATTGAGTTCTTTTGATTCCGGAACAGAGATCTGTTGATGTCATTGAATCTGATAACTAGACTGGAAATGCTTTGATGACCATTTCAGACAATTGTAAGGATCGCTATGGTCCTGTTCCAAAAGGCTTGCCCATACATTTTGGCAAATTTTTTGTTACTTGATTTACTACACGGTGTACATCCCTTATTTCTGTTAAGTTCTGAAAATTAATACAATATTAGAAAGAAACAAAGAGTGGTCAAAATTTAACCTATCTCTCATAAATCACTTGTATTTATAGTTAACTTGTAATAATATAAAAGACGTATATATCCCTTAATATTTACACATAATACCCTAATATTCTTAACATTCCTCCTCAAGTTGGATTGTATATATCATATAATTCAAGTTTGGAACAAATTATTGTAAGACGTGTACGACTTGGTGTTTTGGTAAAAATATCTGTAAGCTGATCTTCAAATTTCATAAATAGAGTCGTAATCTCTCTGGTTATTATCTTGTCTCGAATAAAATGATAATTAACTTCAATATGTTTTGTTCTCTCGTGAAACACTAGATTGATATCGATATAGATAATTATCTGATTGTCACGGAACAATTATAAAGGAGGTTGAACGAAAAATTCAATTTCTTGGAGAAAATTTAGTAGCCACATCACGTCAACTCATTCGTCGTATGCATCATTGTTCTATACTCAGCGTCAGTATTGGATCTCGTTATCACAGGTTGTTTATTACTTTTACATGAGACAATATTACCTCATAAGAAAGTACAACAATCAGTGGCTGATCTTCAATTAGAAGGAAAGTCAGCTCAATCAACATCCGAGAAATCTTTCACTCTAAGATGTCATTTAGTTCGATCTAATAGCCCAATACTAAGAGCACATTTGAGATGTCGTAGAATATGAGTAATTGTCTCCCAATGTGGTACTTTAGGACATCTCATAAATTGACTTATTATACTAACTGCATAGAAAATATCCGGTCGAGTAATAATGATATAATTGAGCTTCCCAACCAACCTACGATACCGAGCCGAGTTCTCAAACAGTGCACCATCATTTATCAACAGTTTCTGATTCAGATCCATTGGAACATCAATTGATCTGCAAACCAACAAACTTGTTTCCTCTAGCATGTCAAGTATATGTTTCCTCTAGGATAAATCAATGCCCTGTTTAGATCGAGTCACCTCAATACCCAAGAAATATCTGAGTTTTTCCAAATCTTTAGTATAAAATCAGTCTTGTAGGAAGGTTTTTAACTTGACAATTCCTTCAAAATCATTTCTAGTAATCATAATATCATCTACATAAACCACCAATAAAACATATCCGGCATCTAGCTGTCCATGAAACACAGAATGGTTTGTCTGACATCGAAGAAGATCAAACTCAAACTGTATCTAAAAACTTACCGAACCATGTCCTTGGTGACTGTTTCAGTGTGTTTTTTGCAAGAAACAAAGTGCGATCTTTTGGTGGAAAATTTGGTAATTCCGATTTTTCAGCAAAACTCTCTCACTTGATGACCAAACTCCCAAAAACATTGGACCTTTTTATATTTATTGTACTTTGCATGACTTTTCATTTAACCAGACAGAGCCTACAATGGTGAAGTTCTAGTCGGTCAAACATGGAGAAAAAAAACCTCGATTTTATACGCTTATGTGCACAAGTTAATATCCACTGTAACGTAATATAATGTTAATATTGATAATGAGCGGTTTAAGCCGGATTGCTTTAGAGTCCAAGACCCTCTAGGCTTGTAAAAAACGGTCTAAGCAGCTCATTCAGATAATATTCCTCAGGCTTCAACTGGATTACAACCCGGTTCGAGGGAAGCTCGACATTAACAAACCCGGTATAGCTACCAGTTTGGGAGATGGGAGCACAGCACAGGGGCAGTCTGCAAGAACTGCAGTATGACACGTGGACATGAGATAAGGAAATATTACCTAACGGATCTGATGAACAAAAACCCGCAAGTAATAGAGATGGTTCAATTACTCCGGTCTGCGAGCAGTGGATGCAGAAAAGTGTTAGGAATAATTGCTTCAGGACAGGGACAAATGCAAAAGGAACCACGGAATCAGCTAAAAAAGATAAATACAAAACCTTAACTGCCAGTTTTATATATATAGCCAACAAGGCTATTGGGCACGGAAATGGCCATTAGAAAAGCTACCAAGTAAAACCCAGGTGATATCTTGTATAAGGCTTCAAGCCAAACATACTGCGATAACAATTTTCTTCCTCAGACAATACAAGTCTCAAGGAACAAGAGACTCCCGTATAGTAGATATAACTTTAGTCTTTCGGTTAAAGGCGAATCACTCATATTGTTATCTTCTTCTTTTATCATACACTTATCATACACACACATTCTCTCATACATACTCACACGCACTTATTGGGCTTCACCCNTTCTACAATTGAGTTCTTTTGATTCCGGAACAGAGATCTGTTGATGTCATTGAATCTGATAACTAGCCTGGAAATGCTTTGATGACCATTTCAGACAATTGTAAGGATCGCTATGGTCCTGTTCCAAAAGGCTTGCCCATACATTTTGGCAAATTTTTTGTTACTTGATTTACTACACGGTGTACAT